GTCCACTATAGCACACCACCTGCCTCCCCCAGCCCCTTTCTATCCTCCTGACTCCATCGAAACTCACATACATTAGCTCAGTGCCATCCACAGACAAGAGTCAGGGGTATAAGAGAACGGGAAAGCCTCCATTCAAATTTTCCTGCACAACATTTTTTAAAGACGTGGATCATACATATCCTTGCCACAAGCACATATGAAGTCTCAGAAGACACGCAAGATTAGTATTCATTAAATATTTAATGGATGTTTATTATGGCAGCACATTAGGGTTAGAGGAATCATGTCCATAATATAAAGAGTTGTCTTTGTGCTGGATATACGCTTTATCAGGTATTTGCTGTATTTGCTCTATAAGGTAAGCTTGTATCATCAATCTGGACAGTACAAATCTGTCCAATTTATATATGTGCAGCATAATTTTAACTCCAGCAATCATTAAAGGTTCAATTCTTGAAGGATGTTAGCAAAACTCAAGTTAAAGTTCCAAGGCATTATAAAAATAGAGGATAAAGGATAAAATTCTAAGCATCATTAAATAATAAATGAAAACTATCTATCGGGCTCTATGCTCCGTACCCGGGTGCCCGGGTTAATGGACAGATAGACAGATGGATCTATGATAACACAAATATACTAAGGAGCACTATGCTCTGTACCTAGGTATAATACACCCATGTAACAAACCTGTGCAGGTACCCTCTGTATCTAAAACAAAAGTTGAGAAATAAAATAATTTTAAAATGTGAATGATACATTTGAATGCTCTGTAATAGAAGCATTAGAAGGCATCTACCTCCAAGTAAGCCAGGCATGCCAACAGGCCCTGCTTTGGTAAGATAGCCCTTCCAGGTAAACACTTTTTCTTGTTCCAAAAAAACCAACTCTCCACAGTTTTCTTCTTTTGAAAGATTTTGAAATGGGCTTACTTATTTGGAATTCAGTGGCCTTCAGCCTTGCTTTCTGCCTTGTTTCGTTTTTACGGGTCTTACCAAAAGGCCTGTGCGATTCCCTAGTTGCCCCACAAATTACTAGTGTTTTGTTGTTGTCGTTGTTGTTTTCTGAGAAGGAGTTTCGCTCTGTTGCTCAGGCTGGAGTGCAGTAGCATGATCTCAGCTCACTGTAACCTCTTCCTCCCGGGTTCAAGCGATTCTGCTGCTTCAGCCTCTCAAGTAATTGGGACTACAGGTTCTTGCCACCACGCCTGGCTAATTTTTGTATTTTTAGTAGAGATGGGATTTCACCATGTTGACCAGGCTGGTCTCAAACTGCTGACCTTGTGATCCACCCACCTCGGCCTCCCAAAGTGCTGGGATTACAGGCGTGAGCCACCACGCCTGACCATTCGTGTTTAAAAACATGTTTGTTTTGTTTTCCTGGGGTAAGGGAGGTATAAACAGATTACCCCAAAGCCCCATCTCTTTGATCTTCAGAAAGGGAAGAACAAATCACTGCAGCTGTGTTCTTCTGTTTATGAGGATTGATCTATATACCTAACCAGACTGCAAAATGTTCAAAGTTGGAATTCAAATATAAAACCTGCATTAATTTAAAACCCTAGTTGGCAACACTAGAGTTGCAAAGGATTACTCTGTTTTAAAGGATCACAGAGGTGTTTGTTATTCTATTTGGCTTTCATGACATACTGTTGTTTTCATCTATGATTTATTTGATGCTATATCTCCAGTCTGGAACAGAGCTCTCAATTATTATAACAGTTTCCATGGAGACATATGATCTATTCTCTCATTGCTCCCCAGTGATCCATTCTCCACAACTCCACCCACTACCCCCAACCCCAATCCTTTCCGTGGGACCCTCCAGAACTTCCAGCTCTCCATCAAACATCTTTTAATCTGTTTTGTTAAGTGATCAAAAACCAGCGTAATACGCAAACTTTTGAGTTAACAAGGGCTAGAGTAAAAATGTTAAATTAGCTCAGGGGGACTGGAAAGATGGAAATTAACTGAATAAATGTGTTCACATAGGGAGAGCAGTAGCAGCGACTGGTCAGAGAAAGATGTGATCTAGGATGGGAGCAGGACTTCTCAGTGTTTATCCTTTTAACATAATCTTAATGATGAACATGTGAATGCATTGCTTATTGAGAATATCACTTAGGACAGATATAGTGGCTCACACCTGTAATCCCAGTACTTTCAGAGGCCATAGCAGGAAGATTGCTTGAGCTTATAAGTTCTTGAGCAGCCTTATAAGTTCTCGAGAAACATAGTGAGATCCCGCCTCTACAAAAAATACAAAAATTAGGCCAGGCACGGTGGCTCACGCCTGTAATTTCAGCACTTTGGGAGGCTGAGGTGAATGGATCATTTGAAATCAGGAGTTTGAGGCCAGCTCAGTCAACATGGTGAAACCCTGTTTCTATTAAAAACTATAAAAATTAGCCAGGCATGAGGTTGAGGCAGGAGAATCAATTGAACCTGGGCGGTAGAGGTTGTAGTGAGCTGAGATGGCACCATTGCACTCCAGCCTGGGTGACAGAGTGAGAATTTGACTCAAAAAAGCAAAAACAGAAATTAGCCACGCGTAGTGGTGCATGCCTGTAGTTCCAGTTATTTGGGGACGGAGGCAGGAGGACTGCTTGAGCCCAGCTTGTCGAGGCTGCAGTGAACGATAATTGCACCACTACATTCCAGCCTGGGCAACAGAGTGAGACCCTGTCACAAAAAGAAAAAAAAAAAAGTGCTCATTTAATTTTTTAAAACTCAGCTTATTAGAGCCTCTTCTTTATGTAGGCCACTTTCTTCCCCATCATCAGAGAAACTGCTCCACGTCTGAAATCTAAATGCCTCAATTCTTCCTAACATTTGAAGGATCTTGACCTCATCCATTTTTTTTCATCCCTAGACTTCTAAACTCCTTTTTTTCCCACCCAGGTGATGACCCTCTTCATGCTAGACATCTTCCCCATCCCAATCTAGAAACCATTTTCATTCATGTATTCAACACGCCTTTCCTGAGCACTTGATACAGGCTCTATGGGTCTGCAGTGAGCACTCTTCTTCCCGGAATCCTTAACTCTCTTTCTTCCATCATCTTCTAGTTCACTGATTCTACTAATCCCACCCTTAGTTCAAATCCACCATCTCCTTCTCCATCTCCACCCCAGGGATGCTCAGAGCTGCTGGTAAAACCATACAAGGACGTGGACCACTGCCAACCGCCTATTCCCAACCTTAGGGACTGGATGGGTGATCTTCCTGGCTGTCCTTACTCTCTATTCCCATCCCATGTGGAGGCTCCTTAGTCTCTGAGCCATCGTCTCAGATTCTTTAGTCCATCTCAGTGGACGCCCTTGCCACTCACAGACAGAGAACTCATGCATTCAATCTAGGCACTGAATGAATTTGATTCCCTAGGCTCTGAAAATACCGTGGTGACCAGGACAGAGAAGATCCCTACTCTTGCGGAGCTTAGCTCTTAGAAACAGAAGACAGAAAAATCAACAAGGAAGCAAGAAAAGCATCGCTCAGTGATGGGTGCTATGAGAGAGTTAAATATAACGGACAGTGAATGAGCGGCTACTTTGAGTGGGTAGTTGGGGAAGATGTTTCAGAAGAGGTGGCGTCTAAGTTGAGATGTGAATTGCAGGAAGGAGCCAGCCATGCAATCAGCAAAGGGAGCAGCATCACAAAAGTTCTAAGGGAGGAAGGAGCTTTGTGTGTTTCAGTAACCCGAGAGCTGATGCAGTGTCCAGAGCACAGTGGGTGATGGGGAGAAGAAAAAGAAGAAAAGAAGTCACACAGGGAAGAAGGGCCAGATGATAAAGGGTGATACAAGCTAAGGATGTAACATAGAATTCATTCTAATTGTGGAAAGTCATAGGAGGGTCGTAAGCAGGGGAGCTTCCTGACGTAATATACTAGCTTTAAAAAATTATTATGGCTGTTAAGTAGAAAGTATATTAATCGTAAGTAACAAGATTGGGAATGAGAAACCACTGAGGAGTTTCTGCAGTTGTCCAGGTGATATCAATGGTTTAGATGAGGGTGGTATTAGAGAGATGAAGAGAAGTTAGTGAATACGTGACATGCTTTAAAGGAACTGTCAGAATTCGCCAATGTATTGTATGTGGTCATGGGGACAGGGGCGGTAGGCAGGGAGGGTGGGAATAAAGGAAAGAGGGAAACTCAGGGATATTTATAAGCCAGGTTTTTGGCTTAAGTTACATAGATGGCAAAGAAATGTATATTTTTTGCACACCTGAGTTCACAGTATGAGATTTATGCTAGACATCTTTGTGGCACACAAAGGGACAAAAAACCCAAAACAACACTAAACGAGTCAGCAATACTTATAACACAATCCCCACTTCAGTAAAACAGCATCTCGCCCTATCTATAAAAGGATCCAGAACCACTCTGTGAGTCCCAGAGTCATCCTTCCACTGTGCTACTGTTTGAAAGGAACCACTTCTGTTCTTGGCTGTCAGGGTGATCTTTTCAAAAAGGCAAATCTGATCGTGTCACTGCTCTGCTTAAAAACGTTCAATGGCTCCCCACTGCACTGTGAATGAAATCCAAACTCCTCATCATAGCCTATCAAGTTTGCATCCCTAAGCCCTGCTTATCTCTGCAACATCACATCCTACACCTCCTTCTGCTCGTTACATTTTGGCCCCAGCACCTTCTGATGGTTCCTAGGATGCACGCAGCCTGTCCCCACCTAGGAACTTTTGCACTTGCCCTCTCAGCTGAGAACATTCTTTCCTGGCTCTTTGAAAGCATAGCTAGTTCTTTCTCATCCTCCAGGTCTCAGCATATGTGTACCTCCTCAGGCTGTCTGAGTGGGTCCCCTCTTTGTTTGTGACACAGCACTCCATTCGTTTCCTTCATGGTATTCCCTACAAAGTGTAGCGTGGGTCTATTTACTTCTTAGTCGCTCTCCCACTAGAATGTCCATCCCATAGGAACAGCAAACGTGCCTGCCTTGTTAGGTGTTCCTTCGGAAGCAGGTGCAGCCACCAAGTCATACTGTACCTTGCCAAAGCTGCCTTTCCCCAGCACCATTAGGAAGTTAAAATCGGTCAGTTTCATCCGGTCTCTGTTGCCATTGTTGTCAAATTTGGAGACAGTGTTGGTCGTCTTTTCTTCCGGGACCTTGGTTCCCTGACTGATCTTGGCCCTCTGCAAAAAGGAAGCACACAGAAAACATGCTTAGAGTTTGAGGATGCTCTTGTAGGAAGATACAAGCACACAATGGGAAGCTGTGGTTCCTGCAGCTCCAGCACCCTGTCCCTGTGAAAAGCATGGCCGTACATCACTCCACATGCCTGAAACCTGTCAGACATCCTTGATGCCTCTATCTTTCTCTTTTCCCTCATGTCTCATCCATAACCAGGAACTGTCATTTCTTTCCTCCCGGCCATCTCTAGAATTCATCTACTTCTTTCCATCTCAACCATCACCACCTGCCATTATCTCTCACCTGCACAAGGCACATTGATTTTCTTTACACTGGGCTTCACACACAACCACAGTGAGTCTCTCACCCAACCAAGTCCCCTCCTGCTTAAAATGCCCCAATGGCATCCCATTATTTTCAGGATAAAGACCGAGGTGCTTTCACAGACCTATATGATCAGGCTCTGCCTGGCTCTCCAACTCCATCATTGCTAGCTTCTTCCTTGCAATGTAGTGCTTCTCCTTTCACTCCCTTGGATGTCCCAGGCCCCTCCAACCACAAGGCCTTTGCACCTGCTGCTGCTATTGCGGTATGAATGGCTATTCTCTTCCCTTCAGGAACCCAGCTAGAGGTTCACATCTTCATGTCCTCAGGGAAGCCTCATTGATTCTCCCTGTCTGCACTAGGTTCCCCTGTGATTTTCTCCCTTAATCCACTCCTCTTCTCATTAATACTGGAGGATAACTGCCTGTTCACTTGTTTCCTTCCAATACACTGGAGGCTCTGTTGAGGACATGGAATATTTATCATTCTCTGTGGTTTTCCTTACAACTGGTATAGTTCCCACCTAAATATTTGTTGCATAAATGGATCAGTGAGGGCCGTGTGTGTCCTCAGTGCAATAGGAGAGGGACTCCTTGCCATGAGTGGTGGAATGGGGCTCAGAGTGGCAGCAGATGCTTTGGAATGAGGCAAGAACCAGAAGCCATGGGAGGGAGACCTGCAGCCACCAGGACTTCGTTACTGGATTCACTTCTAGCTGAGAGAAAACTGGAGTTAAAAGCTTGTGTGTGGCTAGGCACGGTGGCTAACATCTGTAATCCTAACACTTTGTGAGGCTAAGACAAGAGATTTGATTTAGGATAGAAGTTTGAGAACAGCCTGGGCAACATAGCAAGACCCTGTCTCTACAACGATAACGCCATTAGCCAGGCATGGTGGTGTGCACCTGTCATGCAGCTACCTGAGAGGACCACTTTAGCCCAGGAGTTAGAGGTTGCAGTGAGCTATTTCACACCACTGCCCTCCAACCTGGGCAACAGAGTGAGATCCCATCTCTCTCGCACTCCAAAAAAAAAAAAAAAAAAAAAGCTCATAGTAGAATCCTCTGACATGAATCAGCTGGGTGGCCCAGAACACATCTGATTCATGTCATAACATTTCTCTGCCCAAACATCCTGTACCTTCCCATTATTCTCAGGCTAAAAGCCAAAGGCCACAGATGACCAGGACCCTCTGATTTCAGCCTCCTTGCTGCTTCCACACTGGCCTCCTTGCTGCCCTCTGAATGCACTAGACATGCTCTTACCACAGGGCCTTTGCACCTGCTGTTCCCTCTGCTCAGAGCACTCTTCCCTGAGAACTCTCTCACCACTGATAAGAGGGTCCTTCCCTGAACACCTTACATAAAATTGCTCTCAGCAATCTCCATCCCCTTACTTACTTGCTTTTCTCTATAACACTGTCACCGTCTTACAAACCATATATTTACCTGTTCCCCAATTTGTCATCTTTTTCCTTATAGCAGAATGTAAGCTCCCCAAGGACAAGGATTTTGTCTGTTTTGCTTTCCACTGTTTCCCTGGTACTTAGAAGAGTGTGGCACAGAGAAGGCAATTAATTGCATTTCGTGATTGAATCTTCCTAAACCTTCATCAGCTTTTCAAAACAATAGAGATAATGACATGAAATGATGTACTAAGGACTCTATCACAGAGTCCTTAGTACCATTCCTGGCACACGATAGATACTCAGTGAATAGTAGCTATTATTGTTGCATTTTATTTGGTTGTTTTGAAGATAAAGAAGCAACATAAATCCTTCCAGAGTTTTGAATATCAGGGAAGATTCATTCATTCAAAAAACATTTAGGCTGGGCATGGTGGCGGATGCCTGTAATCACAGAACTTTGGAAGGTTGAGGCAGGAGAATTGCTTGAGCCCAGGAGTTCAAGACCAGCCTGGGCAACATAGCCAGACCCCATCTCTAAAAAAAAAAAAAAAATTAATTAGCTGGGTATGACGGCAGTGGGCCTGTAGTCCCAGCTACTTGGGAGGGTTAAGGCAAGAGAATCCCTTGAGCCCAGGAGTTGGAAGCTGCGGTGGGCTATGATCACTATATTGCATTCCAGCCTGGTCAACAGAACAAGATCCTGTCACAAACAAACCAACAAACACACCAAAAATTCTTATTGAGTACCTGCTATGTGCTAGGTGCTGCTCTAGGTGCTAAGAGTACATTGGGGGCAAAATAGATACAGATATTCAAAAAATGTGCATTCCAGCTGGGACTGGGCCCTCCATACTGTGTCCAAAAGGTATGCTGGGGTCGCTGAGGTGGATAAGCTGGTTTTGGCAGCAGAAACAACATTCATGGAACAGAGAGGAAGACACATTCAAGGAATGAAACATCACCTGGCTGGAGCATGAAGAGCAAGGCAGATATGGCATAGGAGACAGACAAAGGATTGAAAGGACCTTAAGAAGTTCAGGCTGACTATGAGCATGACAGGCAACCTTTGAAGCAGGGCCATGGTATGACCATATACATTTAAAAGGTCACTCTGGGTGGAGAGAGGAGACCTATTTGAAACATGTGGACTGGGAGATCACTAGGAAGTCACAGCAATATCAAGTAGAGAAATAATGAGCCAGGCATGGACATGGTGGTGTGTGCCTATAGTCCCAGCCACTTGGGAGGCTGAGGTGGAAGGATCCCTTAAGCCCAGGAGTTGGAGGTTGCAGGGAACCATGGTCACACCACTGCACTCCAGCCCGAGTGATAAAAGGAGACTCTGTCTTAAAAGAATAAAAAAGAATGATGGACTCAGCTGTCTGCAGTGTAGATGGAACAACGTGGACTATTTAGGAAACAGACTGATCCCGGCTGGGTAGCAGATTGGGCAAGAGAGAAGGGAGATCGGAGTTGAAGGACAGCTCCCCAGCTTCTGTTATAAGCAACTGGAAGGATGCTGGTTCTTTGTACTGAGATGAGAAGAAGTGGAGGAGGAACAAGTTTGGAAGTGTGGGGAAGAGGGTGGGCAGAGATGACCGGCGTGATTTCAGACATGTTGAGATCCCCTCTTCCCCACAGCAGCTTAAAACTGCGAGGTTTATTTCTCCCTCACAGAGTACGTATTCCACTGTCACCACTTAGAAACCATGGCTAACAAAGCATCCACCATTTTTTCTCTTTTTGTAATTAACATTTTGAAAATCGAGGTGGGCACCTCAAAGTGCACCAGTCTTACGTGCACAGTTCTGTGAATTTTGACAAATGCACACACCCACGTAACCCAAACCCCAAACAACACGCAGAACATTCTCATCACCCTCCAAAAGTTCCCAGTCAACCCCCCTCCCACTAAGGCAATCTCTTGTTCTGGTTTCCATCCCACAGGCCAGTTTTGTCTGTTCTCGAATTTCATCGTAGAGTGTGTACTCTTGTGCCTGGCTTCTTTCACTCATCAAAATGTTCTTGAAATGCATCCATGTTTCTGCATAAATCAGTAATTTGTCTCTTTGTATTGCTGAATAGCACTCATTGTTGATGTTTATCCATTCTCCTGTCTATGGGCATTCGAGTTGTTTCTCCTTTCAGCCTACTAACAACGCTGCTGGGAACATACTTGGTCAGCTTATTTTGCAGTAAGATACGCTGAGGTTTAACCCAAGTGTAAGTACCCAGTAAGCAGTTGTGTATGTGGGTCTGGGGCTTGAGCAAAGATACCTGAACTGGAGACACAGATCTGGGGAGTAGAGGCAACCAGGGGGTAGTTAAAACTGCAAGGTCATCTTATTTGCAACGGAGACTGCAAACAAAGAGCCAGCGTGGGATGGAAACCACTTTGACTTTCTTGGGCTATGTCCTCACACCCTCCTAACTCATCACCCCCAAGCTGGTCTGACCCAAACACTTTCCCTCCCCCACTCCCCACTCCACCAGCTCATCACCTTATCATCGTGTGTTCAGACTTCTTTGAATCCTGGCTCAGGACCCATTGAATTCATGCACTCCATTCTCCGGACTATGAGGATCCAAGTCCTGCCTGTCCCTGTTCCCAGTTTCCATCCTGGGAATTTTCCCATCCACCTGCGGGTCCCAGCACACACTCCCCATGAAGCATGAGCACGGACCTCAAACTTCCTGATTTCTTCACTTGACTTTGCTTAGCCAGCAGATAAGGACATTTTTGGGAGTTTTTCTTGTTTTTGTTTTTTTTTCCTTGTCCTTCAAGGAGCAACAAGTGACTAATAGCCTCATCTCTCAGCCCTAGAAACTCCCTTCCCTCCTCTGAATCTGGGGCTGGCAGCCCTCTTTCCTCCCTCCCTCCCTCCCAGCTTGCTTTTATAACTTTTCCCATGGGCATGTTAATTTAACTTCTAGAATCTAGATGAGAAGTCTAATAACCCTGCAAAAAAAAAAGGAGATCTAATAACCCCGTTGGTCTGGTCTGTACAGCATTTGTTGTCATTTTAATATTTAATTGGTTGCCAACTGTTGAAAATTCAGAGACATGAAAACCCAGATCCCCAGCTTCTTTTGAAGAAGGGGATCTGCTAACACTGGGCGGTGTTGAGCTCTTTCGCTTTCTTCTTGTTTGCCTGTCTCCTGAAAACACCTGGGTTTGTAGCCCCTATGCATTGAGCCTTCAGAGGCCAGCAGCCCTGTCCTTTGTCCTTTGAAATATCCCATTGTTCTAAGGGGACAATGCCCAGTACAC